CTTAGAAAATATGTCAAAGCTTTACGAAATAGCAAGAAAGTGCTTTCCAAACAAAATAAATAATTAAATTACACATTGAAACATTTAAAAAAATTTTAATTTCTAATTTTAAACAAGGAGAAATTTTCAATATGTACATAATTCAATACTACTCGTCGTAGTTCAAAACGCGCATATTTTTGCGATGAACTGCTTCGTAATCGCTTTCGTCACTTAAAGATACTACAGTCGATTTATTTTTTGTTAACATGTAGTCGGTGATAAGTTTTTGCGATTAACTAAAGTTATTAGATGGCGCAGTATGTATTGAAATTGGCTGATGCAATATATGCATAAGAACATTGAGCATGCCTAATGAAGTAGGCTGATGCAATAGGTATGAAAATGGCTGTTGCAATGTGTACATACACACTGATAGCAAAAAAAGTGATGCCAACGCAGTTCAGATTGACCTAACCTCTCGGCGAAATTCAATGTGTCGATATTCATATACCGCACAAAAAAAAGAATCGCACAAAAAGAATCGCACAAAAAAAAGAATCGCACAAAAAGCATCGCACAAAAAAAAGCGTAATTGTGTTAATCCTTCTCCTGAAACAAAAGCCTTTACATGAGTTGACCATAATTAAAAATAAATTTTATAAAAAAATCGATTATGGAAACAAATAAAAACACTATAGGCGGAGCCACGGTCAGTTATTAAATACTCGTCCTACAGTTGTTCGTACAACGACTTTTCTATCCGATCAGAATCTTTATCTGAATTGATCTAGGCCTGTCCATCTATCTGATGTCTGTCTATGTAAACTTGTGTTCAAGCGGCAGGTCCCAATTTTTGAGATATTTTGATGAAATTTGGTACAGTGTTTTGCCCAAGGACGAGCGCTATTGAAAATGGTTCATATCAGTCCACTTTTTCGACCACTCGTTATATTGAAAGTCGTCAAGTCGTTATATCGAAAAAAACTGTAATTTTCAATTCTTCGGTGAAAGTGGTAGTAGTATTTCGGCTTTCTAAATTGGTATGAAAACTTTAGATCGGCTGGGTCAATTTTTGAACCCACTCTTATATGACGAAAACTGCAGTTCATACTACAAAAAAGTATAATTTTTAATGCTTCACGATAAAAATTATATAGTAACAGTAATTTAATATGAAAAAATGAACTGTGCCAAATTTGGACCATCTCGGCCTATTTTTGGATCCTGCCCCATGTAAAGATTAAACTTGTACTACATTAGTTTGCGTTTTGGGTTCGCTTCCCCAGATCTACGCACATGAAATATATGCTTTAATATATAAACAAGATTTAATTTTTGTGTTCTATAATAAATATAAGAATTGTGTTAGACAACATTATGTAAGGTGTTTAATGTCCGACTATAATATCCCTTCTCGTTAAATATAACTATGCTAAATTGTGAACACATATCTCGATTTTTAAAACTCTTGGGCACAACTTCTTGTTATGGAAAGAATGCCTCCATTTGCAAAGAGATGTAATTTTTAGTAGTAGTTCCATAATAGTAAGTTCATATAAAAATATTTAAAAGCCGGCCTAGCCCGGCTATAATGTTTTATATATAAGCTACTAAGCGCTGAATCTTTATTTGTAGTGCAGCGTCAACGAAAGATATATGTTCGTCTTTGTGTACCCATCCGATCGATGTCAGGCGACGCTGTATGTTGAAGTTTCGTGTACATCATAGTGTCACCCAACATGAAATAGTCGTTTTTTAATGTATGACTAATATCGTCCGACTTCGCACGAATTATGCTTTGCTTGTATTCTGTTTTATTTGTCGGTCCACACCATATAAAGCTTTAACTTTTAAATCAAGGCAAGAAGATAAATGTAGGCAAGTATGTCAAGCTTGTTTATAGTTGAAAAAAACAGAGGAAATAATGATTTTTTAATTAATTTTCATATATTGGTAAACAAGCTGGAGGAGAAAAATATTAAAAATAGGGAAATTTATATAACGCATCAATATTTTAAATAAATAAAACACTATTCTATAACATACTAAAAATTGCTTTGTATAATATTAAAAAATGCAAACGGTTGATAACATTTTTTTTTTTTTTTTGTATCAATGTTATTTTATAGGCAACACTATAGGAAGTTGGAAGCATAGTAGATTTCCCTTGCCTTTGGTAACATTAAAGCACAAGCATTAATGTGTTTTTGTGCAACACTTAATTCGTGTTCCCCTACTTATTTGGTTTTGCGGATCGTCACCTCGTCACATCACATAGCATTTCAAGTATTGAAATCTTTGTAGATTTTGAAATAGGTGACCTAAATAGCGCCACATAATCTTAGGTAATATTATGTCAGATTGCTGCTTTCATATTACAGTATGTAAAATATTGACAAAGTGAACACGAATTCAACTATTAATTTCAAGTGTAATAAAATAAAAAATTGAATTTCAAATGTAAATAAATAAATAAAGTTCTGTTAAAAAGTACAGGTCACGGTTTGAAGCACAAAAGGCGTAATGCAATCCACGAGAACTGTTTTAGTATCAATGACGAAACTTCATATTTGTGGCCCAAAGTTCTTACTGCGTGTACGGCGAGATCACAATGTTGCGGTGCATTAAAAGCTATTCGAATCCCTTAGTATGGCAGGTTACCAACAGCAAATGAGGCAACTAAGTTGACTATTTCGTATTGAATGATGTGAGATGATGATAGTAAAGGCGAAAATTTGCATAGAAGCGCTCAGTTAAGTACTGCAAGCAAATCTAGTTGAGGAATACATTAAAGGCAAACAACTGTGAGAGTAGGGACTGTCTAAATAGTGTTTGCATTTTTATGGTGGACCAAACAAGTGAGCCTTTGTCTGAATAGCTTCAAAACATGAGTTTTAGTTTCCTCCTGATTCCAAATCACTTCCTGAATCGATCGTCGATGTCTGTCCGTCTGTCCTCCAGCCAGTTTTGTATGAAATATTTTGATAAAACTTGATACGCCTTGATACAGGAACGAAGGCTATTGAAAATGATTCATTTCGGAGCGCTCTCTCGGCACTTTAGGGTAGTGTAGGGCACTTATTGAATAGTCTACAGTGTTTTTACTTGTTTGAACAATAATAAAATTAAGCAAAAAAAATTTTGCAAAAATTTAATTATGGGCACATAATTCATCCAGCAAGAGCTGTAAAAATTTAATAAATCTCGCACAAAAAAACAAAAATACATAAAATTACAGAAATAATTTTCGTTAATTATTTACAAATTGAAATGTGTTTATATTAAAGCCATTGAGAATAGTTTTGCATGGATAGACAGACACAATAGCAATGAAAGAGCTGAGCAATATAGCAATGTTTGCAATTCAATTTAAATTGTAAGGTCTTTATAACATAAGAAGAACAAGATGTGTCTAGTTGGGTATCTAAAATTCGCCCTTAGGCGAGTAATTTATATTTATGGGGTTTTGTTTATTACTATCACATTATATTGTTTATATCAAAGAACAGGTTTTGTTTTAAATTTCATTTATAAGGCCATTCAAAAAAAAAAAAAAGGTTAATAGGTGTTAATAGCCAACACGCACTTATTTGTTATAAACGTCCGGATATATATTTTTGTATATATTACATATATCGATCTACATATATGCATATATATACATGTATACATATATATATATATATATATATATACATATACATATATATGCAAGGATTTATATTTATAAACGAGTTAATTTAAATTTTATTTATTTGCTTAAAGCGCTACGACTTCATGGTTAATCGAGCATTGTTTTTAAAGTTAAAAAGGAAAAAAAAAGTTCAATAATAACCATAATAATAATAATAATAATAATAACAATTCCCTTTTTACTTATTATAAATAATTTGAGGTTAATTTATGGAATATATTTAAAAACACATATATATATACATATATATATATTTAAGTTGGTATATGTTAGGTTGGCAAGGATGAAATTTGTAGTCAATAACATTGCCTTTAGATTGTCAACGCTCCGTTTTTTTTTTTTATTCGCCGGTTTACATTGTAAGCTCTAGACAAGTAAAAATACTATAGGAATGGGCCCATCATTAAATGTCCTATATCATCACTTTGCTTGGTACAGTTACATGAAGAACGATTTTTCAAAATAAGGGTTGTGATCAAAAGAGTGGTTCGATCCGGCACTCAAATATTGGCGACCTGTAGAATAAACACGAGACAATGGGATGGATGGACAGATGGACAAGGTTAGACCGATTCAGAAAGTGATTCTAAGTGTAATACGTATAATAAAAAGTAGATCTATCTGGGCGTTGCATACGTCCGACGAACTTAATATATTCTTGTACCGTACACGGTGTAGGGTTTCGTGACCCAATTAGTCAGAAGATATTTCCTATATTTGTATGTAACAAGTTGACGCTCAGAAAGAAGTTAGGGAAGAGAAAGAGACGGGAACGGCTGCAGTTTACTGATTGCATATCACACTGGTAGGTGTTAAGCGCTTACTAATGGGGGGATAAGATCAAGTATGCTCTGTCGCAATGAGATTTCATTTCACGAATACAGTAGCACTGTGATCGTCGCATTCCCTATCTATTATATCGACTTGGCTACGCAGAAATTTGCATTAATATGAAGTTTGAGTTCGCACGTGGAACTGCAGCATCGCGAATCGAACGAGTTTTAGGGTTACTACGCTGCAAAGTGTATAAAATCGTTTCACTAAAATTCGCAGCAAAGCGATAACATGTACACACGCGGTCGACCAGAACTACAATGACCGAGTAAAGGTGACCAACGGTGAGTCAATTTCCGATTGTCTAGGAATTATCGCTGAACAATCAAAAGCTCAAGTAAAAGCTTTTTTTTCTGTAAGTTTCATCTTTGACAACCTGATATGTATATATATGTTTTTATTTTTTTTTCTTTTATACACACATATATAAATATGTTTATGTTAAGTATATTTAGTAACAATGAGATAGCAGATCGTAATGATTACTTACCTCCAATACTTGAACCATTTTGTTGTGAATATAAATTTTGTTGTGCAGTTTGAGGTTGAGGGGGATATAATTGGGGCGGACCTTGCGGTGGTGGGCCAGCGCGTGTCGCTCCAGGTGGTACCAAGACTGGTGCTGGGCTAACCAAACGCATTGGTGTTCCTGTACGTGGTCCCATAACAAGCGAACCGCTTTGATCAAAAAATGCCGGTATAACCTTTTTTATGGGCAGCAAACACGCCCATCAATCAATCAATAATCATGTACAAGCGCGCGCGCACGGTTGCAAACACACACACACACAAAAATGGTCGAATCGATTTTTATTAATATACATCATACAGTCATAATGAAAGCATAAGAAATGTAGTAGTGTACATGTGTTCGACAAAAAAAAAAAAAAAAAAAAAAAAAAATTGATTGATTATGAATTCCATTTGATTTTGTTTGATTTTTATAGCGATTGTTTTGTACAAGGGTTAGGTTAATTTTGTTTTGTTTTTTTTTTTTGTATTGTTTATTTGTTTATTATTTGGGTTATAAGTAAAACGGATATATATGTATGCATGTATGTATGTATGTATGTATGTATGTATGTGATGTTGTGGAAGAGAAAAAGACAAAAAAGAGAAAAATATTTTTAGGTTAAATTTTTATAAGAATATATTTACAGTATTTATAATTAATATACATATATATACGCGATATACATACATTTGAGTTTTAAATCAAGTTTTTACAAAACTTAAATTAAAATTTTAATTTTTTTTTTCTTTTTTTTTTCATTTACATACATACAATAAATATGATTGATAACAATGATTAAAAAATTCGACAGGTTTTTAAGAATTCTTCTTCTTTTTTTTTTGTTAAGCACTTAGTTAATCACTCACCTGATAAGATTGATTTTCCGCTCCTTGTTGTGAGGGCGTTAGTGGCCTTCTGGGTTGTGTACCTTGTTGTGGTATTAAGTTACCCGGATACATGCCCCACGGTGCTACACCATAGTATTGGGGCATTTGTGCGGCTATCAAACCCATATAAGGTGCTGCATCTTGTCCCGGATTAATCACGTAAGGAGCTGCTTGCTGAGCGGCGTAAGCGGCGTTTTGCTGAGCCGCCAAAAACTGCTGAGAGGCTGCGGCCATTTGCATTTGTTGTGGCTGCATTGTACCATTCGGTGCTCCGGGCGGAGCAGCCGATGTGGCAGCTGCAGCCGCTGCAGCAGCAGCAGCAGCATTTGTGGCAGCAGCAGCAAGACCGGGATTTTGCGAGCGAAATAATTGCTGCAAAAAAAAAGTGGGAAAAAAATTAATTTAAATTAAGTAAATAACACATGTTTAGAAATTTTTACATTTTACAACAAAAATAAGAATAAATAAAAAGTAAATTTGAAAACAAGATATATTGGATTTGGAGTGAATTTTCCGATATCTACGACATGTTCGTCTTTTACTAACAAAAGTGTACGTTTGCGATTTTCTGAAAATGGAAATAGTTCGCCGATAGCTTTTTAAGGTACTTCTGGATAAATCATACATTTTTATTCCTATCACTAACGAATATGGGTATTTTAAGTTGGCCTTCTGGTTGGCAGTACGTAGAAATACACCCTCGAGATCCCATAAAGTAAGAATGATCCGATTAGGCTTCCCTATGCTCAGTTAATCTACCTGTTTTTCCATCTTTCTTTCCTTCCATACAATCGTCCACCAAGTGCCTATCTTTCTTGATATGACCCAGAGAGAGAGGAGAGAAAAGAGTAAGGGATAGGCAGACGTTGGCCGCAAGCTAGTGGGTGTGCGCCCAATCGATGTCTTTACCGACTGAGCACTCACTATAAGTACAACAAGAGAAAACTCGAGCCAGCGAATTCTGACTTGGTAGTCGCCTTTCTTATCCTCTCGGCTACTCAGGCGACGCTTCGTCTTTCCCTTCAGTCTGTCTTTCCTCTCTACACTTCCTGAATCCGTTTCGCCATATGTCTTCTGGTCTACCTCCTTGTCAATCCTTCTGCGTTCTCCCGTGAAACCAACCTTTGTGGCAATGCCAACGTTCGCAACAGTTGAGTTGGAGAAGTGAAATTTAAGATAACAACGTTGAACTTGCCTTTAATTTGTGCATCAATTTACTCAAATGATTGTCAAACAACAACAACTGCGCGAATTTTGGTCGGAACAAATATACTCTGCAATTGGTATGGAAAATGTGCTTACTCAGCCAACGTAAGTGTGATATGCTACATAAATGTATCTTTTGGCTGAAAAAAATAACATCTCGCATAACATCACACAATCATGATAACGTCATAGGGCGTTATAACACTTAAGAAACAAGATGTAATCGGAATCATGGAAATAGTATGTTCGCGATTATTGTTATTGACACCTTTCGATGGAGCATCGCATTTAAAGTGATGAAGCGAAGTGTTACAAAATTTGCGATCTCTACCGTAATTCCAGTCAAACGATGAACAAAAACAATGAACAAAGTAAGGATAAGATGGCAGATTCGCATTGTCCAGCTATTTCACATGACAAAGTACAAAAACGACACGATTGTTCGTTTATATTCGGTATCGAAAAAAATTCATACGTTATAGTGTATCATCCACTCACTATCCATTGAAAGTTTTTCGATAGTGGAAATCGAAAATTGCCTTTGAGTTAAATCGACAAATGAGTACCGTAAATGCGTCCCCGATTGGAAACGTCTATATCCAATGACGTTTTAGGAATAGAACGTCTACAAGTTGCAGGACTGTACAATGTGTTTACAAGACGCTCAAGGGTAAGTGAGTTTAACTAAGGCAAAGTATAATCTTTGTCCCCTCCTATCGATTAAGGTTCTTTCCGGTTTTCATAATCTTAAGAGAAATTTAGCTTTAGCGACTACTTTAGGATTCAGCTTAACGACTACTTAGGATTCAGGATTAAGCTGTTGGGCACCTGAACAGAATTTATTCAACTTTTTTAAAATTTCTGCTGACGTGAGAATCCAAAAATATAACCACAAACCTATCAAATTTAATAAAAATAATTGAGTTCAAATTTTGCCAAGGCGATGACTTTTTAATGTGGCTACAAGTCAAGTTACTCAAAAAGTCAAGAGGTTGAGCAACGCTGAATTTTGTATAAAATAAATATTTATTTTGAATAAACTCATTAAATTATAATTATTCAGATCCTTATAAATTTTGTAGATACACATACATATATATGTATACATAAATATATAGATGAACATATGTGTTTATATAAAATGTCGAAATTATAAATAAACTTTAACTACGTGTACTTGTATGCAAATAAGGAAAGTAATTGCAATTGAAGAGCAAGTTTGCCACAATAATCGCGAAAAAAGCCTGTGTTCCTCGGTTCAGCTATTCCCGGTAACTTATTGTTCTTCGAACTTTACGTTGCAAAAGTGTTTACCAGTAAATATGGTAAACATGACGGAAGGCATTGCAAAGAGAGGTAGTTCTGATAAGTAAACAAGAAAAAAAAATTTTTATACCCTACAAAAAGATTACTTGTAGTAGATACAAGGTTATGTTGAGTGTGTGGTGAAGTGTACCCAACACCCAGAAGGATTCGAAGCAGATCTATCTTTTACTATGCCGATCGATTCAGGAAGAAATTCGTTGAGGATTTAAGTCAGTTTGTTTGTCTGTCCGTCTTAATTTATTGTGATCACACTGACGAGATTTTTTATCAATTTAAGCCTGTCTGCCAGTTCGTCCTTTTTGCTTTCTTGCTTTCTTTAATTTGACGCACACTGACATGTTTAGGCCCAAGTATGGACGCCATTCAAAATGGTTCGGTTCGGTTCGGACCACTTTCTCGAGTTTTTCCGCTACAGCGCTTTATTTGGAAGAGTCGTTATATGAATATAACTGTAGGATGTTTCTACTTGTCTAAATTAAATTGAAAACCATATTACATTCTTATTACATACACACACACAGACAAAAATTAAAAAAAAAAAGAAAAAGGGAAAAATACTTTACAAGTTATGTTGAAAAGTATGCTGCAGAAAAATCATTCAAGTCTATACAAAAACAAATAAAGAAGTAGTAAAGTTAACTATTTCTTCCTCCTTACAGATCATGCACGCTAAACGAAAATTTCAACAACTTGAAAATTATTTTAAATGAATTCAATTGGAAAATGTATTCAACATGTGTTTTCCACTGATTTTATTATGAACATCATATTATGGCGTAGTCATCGTAAACGCCTAAAGCAAACTGTGTTAAAAAAGGAAAAAAGAAAGAAAAGAACGTAAACGGCATTTTAGAAAAGGAAGCAAAATAATACTTGCAGAATAGAAAAAAAAAAAGAGAAAAGTGAAACGTAACAAAAAGTAAAGCGTATATGGTGGTTGGGGAGGATGGAGTGGAAAATAACAAAAGGAAAAAATAAAAAATAACAAAGAAAATACTCATCATTTTCAAGTGTAACAGAGCATAACATTATCATCGTAAATTGAGCAGAGAGAGTAACGTAAAAGGCGTGCAGCGATACACTTCCACACAAATGTTTTAAGGGAAAAACATACAACGATTGCTGTGTTGTTGCGATAACTTCTAGGTGTGGGCTTAAAAGTTGTATTAATAAATAATAACAAAATAGGAATAAATGAATACAATTATATTCCTCTAAATATACACATAATTACACACGCATGCATGGTTGAAAGTCAATCAATCAAATTTTTACGTCGGGGATAAGTAATCGTAACCGTAATTCGCTTTTTACACGATACATAAGTTCTTAAAAAGTTGATAAAAGAACATTAAGAGAATATTCAAGACCGCGTTAAAACAAAACAATTCGTGTAAAAACAGAATTCCTTTTCTTAAACTCGCGTTAAATTAAATTTCGTGGAAAAAAAAAACGTAATAAATGAGATTTAGGTGTACTTGAAAAATCCTACAAAAAGAGGAGTAAGAGTACGTTTTAGTAAACGTATAAAACACCGTACGGAAAAAACAGCAATCGATTCATCTTAATTTTTTATATATCAATGCGTAGCAGGAAGCTGCACACTGCGCCGTGCGGACGCATGATACAATTCGCTTCGCAAATCGCTTAAAAAAGCTTTATCCACATTTTACTATAGTTTTCAGAATATGGATACACTACGTGACCCAGAAGATAAGAGAAGAGAACTCGTCGACTATAAAAGCCTTTGATGACTGTAAAATTCCAAACCAATCTAACCCAATCTTCTTGTCAGAGCATTTATGACTGAAATATTTAAGATAAGCGAATCGAAACGTGTACACTTTGAAGTGATGAAAGCAGATGAAGTTTGAGAACGGCTGTGGCAGTGCTCATAATAACGGTTATAATAGATATATTAGATATATGTCTGAAAAATACCGTAGTGTATAAGTAGGTGTCAGCGGGCATTAAATGCGCCAATAGCATGTACGAGCTAATATAAGAAAGCTTGATCTAGGAGATTGCTATAATCTTATAGATTATAATAAGACCACCGTAAAAAAACAAACAATCACTCAAGTGACATGCCCAAACTTTACAAAATACTTTATAATCTTAAGATTGGAAATTGTTTTTAGGATATAAAATTATTATAGATATAATTTTCCGACTCTTCACCATGTGCATTTGTTGTGCCCCTGTAAAACACCTTATAAATATTCGCGTAAAAAAAGTGCATACATAAAAATTCATATTTTTCGGTTTTAAAAGTGTAAAAACGGTTCATCTATAAATAGTATATTTATAGCAATTCGTATAAAAAATGGTCCCTGAAAATTTAAAAGATATCACATTTTTTTCGAAAGCTGCTCGATTAAATGAAATCGTGTAAAAAGAAAATTGAATTCATTCCTCATGATTGTATTAAAAATTAAAGTCGTGTACAAAAGTTATTAGGCATAGGTATAAAATAAAATTGTTGCCTACAGAAAGGCGCCTTGAGGTAATAATTTGCTGTTGAATTAAAAGGAAAGTTCAACAATAAGAATTTTTAGAGACGGCAGAGCAGCCCAGACATAGCATATTCTAAGAAGGGAATGAAATTACAAAAGCAGCGAAAGAAATCATTATCTCAGCACGCCACTCAAAGTAAATTGCTTTATACATTGGATAGTTTATTGAATGTTAACAAAGCATGGAACACCGATAACGATAAAATTATTAGAAATTACGAGCGTAAGCCAAGATGAAAAAGATTTGAGGAAGTTATTGAAGAAAAATCCACTGGAATTTTTAGAAATTTTTATTTATTCCACGTAACACAGAATCCCTACCAA